ACTACTGATGGTAAAACCCAATCCTTGCTCAGTTTTTGGAGGAGCAGAATACTGTTTGTTTTTGTTTTTTTTTAATGTAACATTTCAAAAGTATGTTCTATGAGAAAAGTTGAGTTGCTCCAAAACCAGTGTTGGAAAAGAAATCAACTGTCTCTGCTAATAAGAACTTTTCCTTTTCCCCACAAAAATCCTGCCATTTCATTCATAAATAAAATAAGCCACTAACTCAGTTGTTGGCAGGCTCTCCCTTTTATCTTTCACTCACTTGAGAAAGAGTAGCAACATCACGTTTTTGGAAAGCCAAGTGCAGTAATCATAGAATCGGATTTCATGTATTTTTAAAAGCATTTGCAGCAGCTGAGAGCCAATCACTTTTAAAAGAAATATAAACATAGAGAAATTCGGAAGAAACAACTCCGAGCCTGACTTTCTTCATTCCTTCAACACGAGATGAATGTGCTGGGAAGGGACTCCTTCCCCAATGAGATTTCAAAAAGTTAGCGACATTACACTACAAGCACCACGTATTATCTCAAATCAGCTTGCACGACATTTGAGCTGTCTCAACATCTACTGGCCTGGCAGCAGAGTGTGGGATCAGCCAGCTCCCTTCCTCTCATTGCTTTTTTCTTCCTCCTGCTTGCTCAAAGTCTGTGTTCATAAAATATTTAGGGGAAGCTCTTCAGAGGCTGATATTGTCAATACTCTAGCCCCAGTGCAGGTTTACTGTACTACTGAGACAGATACTCTGCCACCAGAGAAATCAAAAGAGCTGATGGGGTTGAATTTCTGCCCCAGGACCTTACTGTCAGACTGACAGTCTGGGCTCGAAGCCTGCCTGGGACGCCAGGGTAAGCAGTAGCGGACAAAATGAGCTAACACACAGAACAGATGTGGTCCCTTTTGTATGGGTGTAAGGAGAAATGTTACTTAGAGTGGATAAATATGAATGAACATAGAAATGAATATAGAAATGAACAGAATGAAATATATAGAAATAGAATGAAATATATATATAAATATATAGAAGAATATAGAAACAGAAATATGAATGTTCTGCCTGCTTCTGAGCCCCAGCTGGGGACAGGTGACTCTTTGTTACCTCTTACAATCTTCTTCCCACCGAAAAAAGCAAGCTATGACATGGAATTCAGATGCACTGCTAAATTAAGCTATGAGTTAGGCAGCACCTCCGAGTAGTACCACCCATTTCTGCAGCAGCCTGCCACAAATTCAATAAGCTAGTATGGTCCTCTCCTATCCCCTGAACTTTGTTACAACTTGTTCATCTCATGTGCTCACAGCCTTCCCTACTAATCCACACATTCTGTGCTCTTAGCACTATTTGATCTTTCCCTCCTAGCTTCATTAAATCAGCTACAGATTTCCTACATTTCCCTGTATTAGAGCAAGTATCTGCTTTTAACATTTTCAGCTAAGCCTGGCTGCCTGAATTCACCTTTGAACCTCTGGCATACTCTAAATCCCTGTCTTTTTCTCTATTAGTTCAAGGGATGCACGTTCCTTTGTTCCGCCTTTGGCATTTCTCACCCTTAGGCATCCAGGAGCTTAAATCAGGCTGTTGCTAAACTGTCCTCCTTTAATAATTTTCATGAAGTGCAGTCCAATTATCTCTATCTTCCTTGGGGATCCATTCAATTAAGCAGAGTCATAATGAGTGAATAGATACCATGCATTGTAACCATATTTACATCCAGATTAATGGGAACCAGATAAGATAACTTTAAAGCCATCACTATTATAACACCTTGGCTTTTGATTTTGTTATTTTCAGCGTCAGAGACATTTAGAGAGATCAGCACAATTTGAGAGGCTGAGTTTTTAATTTCCTCCTTGGCTGGTGGAAATGAGGGTTTAGAAACAGCAGCAAACTACATGAATTTGTCTTAAAATGGGTTCCTCTCAGGTTAACCAAAACACTTCTCATGACACAAAGCAAGCTGGAGCATATCCAGTTTCTTGGACACCTCATGAATTGCAAGTAACGTAAGAAACCAGTAACAGAGCCTTGGGCAACATGGCCTAGTGTGAGGTGTCCCAGCCCATGGCCGGGGGCTGGAACTGGATGATCTCAAAATCCTTTCCAACACTTAATGTTCTATGATTCTATAAATATTTAAGTAGAGATGCTGAGAGTATCAGGCATGCAACAGAAAGGTTGAGCTAGAAATACTAGCTCTGAAGTGACTTTTCTCCCCTCTGAAAGACAAATGCTGGATCTGGAACACAGACCTGTCTCAGATACAGAACAGCTTTGACAGTTATTTTCATGCCTGCTTTGAGGCACCTTTGCATTGCAGGAGGCAAGGCAGAAGGGTCCAATGGAGACTGAAAACCTGGTTCTGTTTCAACACAGCGTAACATAATAGTGTCATAGGCACTAATAAATGTGTCAATAGGCATTTGGAGAAATAACTAGTATCCAGGGAATTCATCTTGGTTGTAGCAGTTTCAGCTGAATAGGTCAGATTTGTTAACATTTTAATTTACACAAATCTGCATTCCAAGTACTGCTCTTCAGCTCCTTTTCCTAACAACAAGAAAATGTCAGCAGCAAAACCAAATTTACTCCTCTAATAGCCTTCTCCAGATTCCAGGAAAAACAAACAAAAACAAAAAGTCCCAATCTGTGCTACAGTTACGGGAGTGCTTAAACACATTTTTCAATTTAGACTTAACACAATTTTATGTTCATAAACCAGAAACTTTTGCCAATTCCAGATGTAATCCTGCAAGGCAGCACAGAGTGCTGGGAATAAGCATGTCTCGTAGCTTGAGGGCAGCTCCAGGACTGTGCCCAGAGCTGGTTGTTCTGCCTTCATCCAAGTGTCCCTTGCCCAACCTGGCACCAGTTTGGGACACTCAACGCTCTATTTCCATATACGATGTGCCAGCTTGCCTTGACTTCCCAGACCCAATGCAACAGGGGAACTAACATGAAGCATATGGTTCCCCTGCAAGTTTTTAGAATACTTCAGATGCAGCAAGACAAAACTGGAAAAAGATGATGTTTTGCTTATCCTTTCCCCCTTAATTATCCCTTCCTCTTTTTTTCAGTTGATTTACTAAGATTGAAACCTCTCTCCCACTAAGCTATCTCAATCGATGTCTCTGAAATAAATACAAACCAACAACCTTTCTCTGCCCATAAAGCCCTACCTCAAAATGCTGGCCCCCACTGATGTCAAGGGGGCAATAATACTTCTGTCATTTCCATAAAATCAGCACTTCCCTGCCAGAATTCAGATCTTTCCTCTGAGTACCCTGCCACTGTCCATCTCCCTGAGGGCTGCCAGCAATCTCCACAGCACTTATTTCTCCTCTTTGACTACAAGCACGCTGCAGGCTTCAGCCCTGCCTAGGATAATCCACCTGCTTAAGATTCAGCTGACTTTCTGGTTCGCTACATAAAAAGAGCAGAGAAAGGTCAAATCCGCCCCAGGTTGTGCTAGCAAAGCCTGCCACATCAGGTGGGAAGGAACAGGCTCTGGTGCTCCTCCTGCTCCTCCAGCTCTCCTTCTTGTCTTCACATCTGGAATGCTCTTCACTCACCTGACCTTCTCCTTGGAAAGCTGTTTCACACAGTGCCTCCCCCTGGGTTGGCTTGCCCTGAAACTGTGCCTCGGGCAAGACCCAGATCCACATCACTCCCAGCCAGCAGCCCCATCCCATGCTGGTCCCACTGCTTGCTGCTGAGCTGCTGCCAGAGCTTTTATCCCCTCTCAGCAGTGGCTCTGCAGCAGCATTTGGGATTCATCCCAAAGCTGCTGCGCTGCTCTGAAGCCAAAAAACCCCCTCTGAGGTGCTGGAAGTTTTCACCCTTCTGAGCTGGGTGTCCCAGGCAGGAAACCCAGGCATCAGCCTGCATGTTGGGCATCCTGCTCATGCCGTCCCTGCCATCAGTCATGAGGGAGGAAGGGAGAGAAAGGAGAACAAAACCAGTTTCTGGTGCATCCTCCCAGGAATGCCGCACACAGGGCTCTCTCAGAATGGATTTCACTGGACTTCTTACCTCTGGGGACTGCTCGAACTTAAAATATCTAAATCTAAGACTATGCAAGTTGTCACTTTTGTATCTGCTTCATGGCCATGTGGCTGTTTGCTTAATGAACAAATGGTCCTTCCCATCATTTAGTTGATCAAGATCTACTAATTGCACTGGACAGGCAACACTCTATGAACCACACAGGCCAGTGGAGAAGAATTTCAGTTCTGGGATTCTCTCCCTTCACACCCATTGATCTGTGTCCCCTTCTTCCCCAGACATTCCAACCCATCACTGATGCTACATTGATTTTTATTTAACGTGTGAGGTATAACTGCTTTGTCCCTGAGCTATACTCACAACTAGAGAAGGCAGAGCTCTGAGAATCATCCACTGACAGAGCGTGTTTTTATCAGTAAAAATGAAATTTCTCCTGCATTTGGAAAAGCTGTACATTCTAAAACACTGGGAAGAAGAGGCATTAAAAGCAGAGCTTCACGCAAAACCTAAATCACTGGAAGACATTCTCCTAGTTTGGAAATGACACAAAGATCATGACACATGCAAAATGCGTTGAGTATAGGCTGTGTAACTCCTTCCCAAGGTAATATACAAGAACTAAGCAAGATAGGTCTAGAAAGGGCTATCGATGTCTGGCACTTTGTCCTGCAATAGAAGAACAAATGCCAATTTACTCATCCTCTTGCTCCTTCTGGAATATTTTCTACATCTTTGAGTTGTACAAATTTACGCAAGAAAAATATCAGCTTCATGAGTTTGAAGATTCTCCCAGGGTTTCATCGACTGGATATGGATTCAGACAAAAATACCACATCAAAGCCAGGATGCCCCACAGCTGCTGCAGAAGCAAAGACCGCAATCTCCATGTCACAACTCAAACTTTTAGAGGCTTAGTATTCAAAACAGGATTTGGGCTTTGCAAGTCGGTAACCCTCAACAATAGGAAACCCAGTAGGATGGCTTTTAAACTCACCTCTCTGTCAAGCCCAGCAGCCACAGTGACAATGTCTCCCGTCTCGCTGTTAATTGTAAACATATTTTGCGATGGGCTCTGTGGGGTCTGCGTCACAATGCGGTACCTCACCATCCCGTTTGCTGTAGTACTGTCATCTGCATCATTTGCTGTCACCGTCATCACGTAGGTACCTTGGAACAAGAGAAGATGAAACATCAGGACTGTCTCATTGCAGAGCAGATTGCGGTCCATTGACTCACGGTCATGCATTTAACTCAGAAATACTATGGAGTAGACATCCCATTTCAATGCAGCCAGCTAGGCAAGGCGAGGATTATGAAAATAGCAACACTGCTGAGACTAGATGATCTGTAAGGATACTGATTACACACAACTGGTATATAGTGAGAAGTCATATCAGGTTATCTATGGTAAACTTCTAATTCTTTCAGTGATCGTAAGTTTTAGGGCAGCATTTTTTGCCCTGCAATTTCATAGTTTCTTACAGGAGATTTCTTTCCATCAAATCACTGCATTCACATGCATTCAGACATAGAGTTTAATACCCATCAGATTTCTTAGCAGCTTCAGAAGGACCCCATCATGCCCAGCGCAGGAAGCAACTGCCTGCTGCTTGCAGTTCTTGGAGAAACATCCATCCTTCTAGCCCTTTCTGGAGGAGGAAAAAAGTATTTCTGCAGAGCAAATGGAACAGCTGCTGCCCAGCAGGACAGAAAATCAATGATCTGGTGTGTGTGGTCAGCGATGCATTGAATCATTGGTTTGTTTCTTGCTAATCACCAGTGTCTCAATTTGCTTGCAAAAAAAAAATCCCTACTTTCTAGATACTGTTGGGAGTGCACTGATGCACTGACAGGCTCATTATTACTGGAGTTTGGCAGCAGGGTGTTGTGTTAGAGTGGGAAATTATCATTATGAGGGTAAAAGATCTTACTTGATTGGATGGACTCCTGCAGCTGCATGGTCCTGTGACCCCCCCAGAGCTCATAGGGCCCAGCTTTACACTTGCTATACTGGTAGGAGAGAATGACTAAAAGGGCAGACACATACTGCTTACAAAAAGCAATCTGCAACAGTGGCTGAACCTAATGATATGAGACCTGAAAGGAGGAATGGGAGGCAGAGAGAGACAGTGAAACCAGACATAACCTCGCTTAGTAACCACCAAACCCAACAGCAGCCATGGAGAGATAGAAGGAACTGTCTGAACACTGCTCATTCGGGAACTCTGAGCAGATGAAACAACTTAGGAGCGTGCTGTGCTGGAGGGATGCAAAGTGGTCCCAACAAGAACCTGAGCTGATTCAAGACAGAGCCACGTGCTGTTCTGCAGAAAGAGCTAAGTTTGTTCTGCTTACTTGGTTAGATGCGAGCCACTGGCACACTCGAGGACATGTGGCTACATTAACACTGCATCGTGTCTCATCTAATTAGCCCAGATCCCCAGCTTGTCACAAAGCTACTGAGCTTCCAGTTCAGAGAAAGCAGAGAGCTGGAGAGTTTGCATCTGTTTGCAAGAGAGCTTAAAAACATACTCTATGCTCTACACAGGCAGATCTACCAATGGCTCTGACATGCCCAAATTCTGTACCCCAGCTGAGTGTTTTTAAGCCCTGTGGTATGTAGAACCCCCCCCCAGTATCTTCCCCAACTTCGGGAAAACAACATTTCTCAGTATTAGCAAGAAGTGGCCTCATAAATTTGTATTTTGCACTGTGCAAAGTGCTTTGCTGATCTCCTTCCTTTTGGCTCAATCAGGCTCTTTTTGTTCTCTGTGGTGATACATGTTCCTGTGAGTTTTCCTAGTTCAATAAGAATTATAGATTAAAAAATAAATGAATGTGTAAAGCAAATTCTAATGATGAATACATTCCTATCTTTCCACAATAATCTGGATTCACATTTGTGAAATGAAAACAAACTATTCAACAACTTGAACATTTTTCCGATCAATAAACTTCAAGAGAGGGAAGGCACACTGACTTGAAAGAAGGCTGCAGAAGCAAGGAATTTTCTCCTCTTTCTTAAAACATTCTTTTTCTCCTTTTTTTTTTGCAAAACCAGTTATCATGAGACAAGTGATACAAATAAAGAAGCCAGCCCTTAGATAAGTACAGGGGAAATGTACAGGAGAAATTTAAATAGGAAATATGCTGAATGAGATGTTTGATTTGGAATTTCTGTTATCATAATGCATTCTATACCGTGAAAATATCTCTGAACAGAATGTCAAAACCTGGGGCTAATGAAAACAGAAGTGGAAGAAGAAAACAGAATCTATTTTAGGACATGTGCAGCCTTTGGACATATTCCAAGAAAGGGGTGGTATTTCATGATTCACTTCTTGTGCAAGAAACACCTCAAAAAGGAAAGTTATTTGGGCTACTAGGTTCAGACAAGGGCATCCCACAGTTATGGTTCGTCTTCATCTGGGATCTCTCAGACTGCACTGTAGCTTCCAAAATAAACTAGGAAAGTGCAAGATGGTATGCTCCCAACTTGGCTGGGGAACCCAACAGGCTGCAGCTGTGGTGGGCATAGGGTGAGCTGACAGCAGCTATCCTGTAGATGGAGTGCACAGTTGGTCTCCTTCACTCTTTCCCTAACCTTGCTGCTTCTTCCCTGCAGTGTAGCATTGGACTGAGCACATCTGCTCTAGAAAAAGAGAACTATTTCAACAGCATTTGACCTACATACCCATAAAGGGAGATGGGACTGGACAAATGTCTCTAAGGTCATGAACTAAGCACCAGGGAGCTGTACTTCAAGAAGCAATCTGCTCCCTAACTCATACCTTTAATTTTGATTATGAAACCCAACCACAGAGGAAATAGAGAGGAATTTGGCATTAATTACTAACTCATAACTTAATAAAATGGCCTTTGCAAAGGATCCTGTGTGGCTGCAGCACTCTGCAGCACATGATGGAACTGCAGCAGCCTCTTCCTTCCCCAGCTCTCCCTCGGGCTGCTTGTCTCACCAAAGTCTGCTGTAAATCAGCTCAAATTGTTTCTTCCTCTGTACAGTCTGGGTGGTGGCTGATATATCCCTTCTTATTCCTACGCATACACATTTCCCACCTGGAAGGCTGACCGAAGGATAAGAGCATGATGGCATCTCCTGTTACCCACGCCAAGGGTACCACTCCTCAGGTCTGCTCCAGGGTGCCGGTGCAACCTACTTCACCATCTACATTCCACCCAGTTTTCTGTACCTTTAGGCTGTCTTAACAGCAGATAACATCTAGGTACCTGTGTGCTGCAGCAAATGACATAAACATATATCTATGCACAAGAGTATTCAGTAGAGCAATGTGGATATATACTGTTACAGTCTCAAACATCTTCTGGGTGCTATATAAAGTCTCCCACTACACTAAAATGTTTGGTGATGATTTACCTGCTACAAAAGTAAATAAAATTATGGTTTTGTGTTCTATGCATGGGGATATATCTTCATATACTTCATATTAAAATAAAGGAAATACATTCTCATACCCAGCCCCTATTACTACACAAATTAGGCAAATATACACTGACAGAAGAACAGTTCTTACTCGCTTGAGGACTGAGGATGGCATTGTTAGGGTTTCAATGAAAAAGCACAGACTGCCCAACCTGGCCCACAGAATGTGTGTATGTGTTTTGTGGAAATCAAAGCATTAACCACCCCACCTTTAATTGCTATTTCCTACCCAAACAGAGACTGGAAGCAGTCACTACAGACCAGAAACACTAGGCAAACTCCTCCCATTCAAGACCCCCACACTGTACCTTGCCAAGTTGACCCTGCCCATAGCAGGGGAGTTGGAACTAGATGATTTTTAAGATCCCTTCCAACCCAAACTGTTCTTTGATTCTATGATTTTTGGGCCAGACCTTGTCAGTGGTGATGAAGTCACAAGAGAAGTGCACAAATGGGGCAGAAGGGGCTTTACGCTTTCAGTGCATGAAAGAAGCATTAGCTTTACTCTTCCGCTCTGAAGGGCTTACTCTCAAGCACGCTGATAACATTAAGTGAATGCACCAAGAGCCAAAACTCAGGAATTTGCCCCCGTCTGTGCAGTGTAATCACATAATGAATACCCAGTCCAGACAGTGTTTGATATAACTGTATTAAACTACACACCTGGCCTACTAAGTCAGGTAGATAACCTGTTGAAAGAAACCACTTCTCATTAAATAAGGCACACAGTCTGTTAAATAAAATACCTAACCTAGTACATCATGTCAATATTAAATCAAATTTGTTGCATGTTGAACAGCTCTTCCGAGAAACAGACTGAATTATCATGCACAGCTAGTGATGACAAGATTACTGTGCATTAGCTTTCATTAACTAATGCACCAAGTTCATATATCACCTGAGTTAAAATTAATGTATGGCATGATGAAGGAGATCTATCAATAAAAGGCAAGACCCCAAGAATTTGCAACTTCACATGTTCCCTTTGATTTCCCAGAGACTGTCATCTCCTAGATGTTATTTTATCAAATGAGCTGTTTTTGTTTCAATCTAACAAAGGACAAGACACATGAGAGAGATGCTTGAAAGCACCCCTTATGGAAAATATTCCCTTTAGATCAATTAAGCTTTCTACATGATAGGCAAAATAATTCCTTACAGAACCTGGGGGGATGGAAGCAAAGGGAGATAAACAAAACTGAATATAGAGGTAAAAATTATCAATTTTAAAATTGATTGCATCTATTTGGAAAAAGCTGCAGAAAGTTTTGTTAGGTTTGCTATATCTCATCCCAAATGTACATGTTGAGTAAAAACAAGCAAAACAAGATAGTTGTGCTGTGTATGTGTGAGCAGATAAGCACACATTTGTAAACAAATGTCCGTCCCATCCCCCCATCACTCTGGAATCTGAGAATCAGCTCAGACAGTCTCCAAGCATGCTGAGGAGTGCTAATTCACATCACGTTGCCTGCAAGCTCTGCTCTCCCATCTACGCAACTTCACTTCTCTGAAAAGACTGAGCTTTTATGGCTTTAAGGCATACAAACAGTATCTTAGTTTTGCTCCCAAAGTCTGTGTTTCAATTGCTTTATAATTACAATTTTTCTAAGCTGGTTTGATATCCATTAGTAAGATTTAATGCATGCTTAAAAAAAGAGCTAATGGGCACTTGTCAGGAGTCAAAATAACAATTAAAAAAAGA